CTGGGTCCGCCGCCCGCGGCGCGTCCGGCGGTCCAGGGCGGGTCCCCGCGGGGTCGCCGCCGGGGAGCGGGGAGGCACTTCCTGGGGGGGTCCCACCCTGGCGCGGGCCTTGCGGGAGGAGCTATTTTTGTACCTTCCAAGCTGCGGACTGCCCTGAAGTGGTTGCGGGTTTTTTGTTGACCTCAACCCCGAGGGGGAGCCCCTGGTGTGACTAGCTTCCTGCAGCCCGCCCTGCCCTGCCCTCCCCTGGCCTTGGGGTGCCCATGGGCGGCCCCACTCCGCGCACGTTCTCTGTACACAATGGGGAGGAGACCCCAGTGCTCGAAGGGTTCCTATTTGTGATTTCCGTGGTTTGCTCAAACCCACCCTCCCTGTAGGTAACGGTAAGGACTCTCAGATTCGGAGTCTGTCCGGGTGAGAGCTTCGCCAGCTGTGGAGTCCCTGGAGAAGTAGGGAATATTAGGCGGCTGAAAGGGCGGTAGACGAAGGCCTGCCCCAGCTTTCAGAAGATGCCTGTGGTCCAGCATGGTGGCTCAAGCCTGTAATCCCAGCTCCTTGTCAGGCTGGGGCAGGTGGATTGCTCCAAGGTCGAGGTCAGCCTCGACTATAGTGAGCTCAAGGCCAGTTTGAACTGCATAGCTAGATGCTGTCCCAAAAAACCAGTTGGCACATTTTGTAGCGATGGTGTGAAGAGAACCCATCACCTCTGTGGTGATGGTGTGGCATCTCAGGAGCCCGCCCTGCCCGGGCAAGGTGTGCTGTATGGTAGATCCTCAGTATGGATGATACTGGGTCGCCAAAGTGTATTTTAGACGGACATAGTGGCACACACGTGTAATCTTAGCACAAGGGAGACCGAGGCAGGAGGATCGCCATGAGTTCAAGGCCTGCTTGTGCTATATAATGAGTTCGAGGCCAGCCTGAAGTACATAGCGAGAAAAAAGGAAAGGTTAGTATCTTAGTCCAGATTGGGAGAGATTGAGAATATTTGAATTGATTTAACCTTTTCAATGCAGGTGATTAGCATGCAGATCCCCATGGTCTGATCTGCCGCCCTTTCTTTGACATGGCCCACCGGGGTGGGGAAAGGGACTTCCAGACTTCTGCTCGGCGCATGGGCACCTCCCTGCTCTTCCAGCTGTCAGTGCACGAACGGGAGCTGGACCTGGTTTTCCTGGATCATAGCTATGCCAAGCCATGGAGTGCCCACCCAGATGCCAGTAGCGCCCGCCCCACCCGCATGCTCTTTGTTACTCCCCGTCGGCAGCAGGAGAATACTATGTGAGTCTGGGCTTGTTTCCTAAGGGTGGCCACTACCCAAGCTGGGTGGTGATGAGACCATGGGGGAGAGGGGGGATTTCCTTGGGGATGTTGGCTTGAGAGCTTGGATGTTTAATTCAGGCATCTCTGTGAAGCAGTGTAAGAGTATCAGGCCTAAGCCAGGCATGGTGGTGCATGCCTGTAATCCTACCACTGAGGAGGCTGAGGCAGAAGGATTGCCATGCGTTTGAGGCCAATAGTTAGTTCAGGGGAAACCTGAACTATACAGCAAGACCTGTCTCAAAACACCAAAAAAAAGAAAGAAAAAAAAAAAAAAAGAAGAAAGAAAGAACAAGAAAAAGAATGTCAGGCCTAAATGTGTATGTCTGTCCACAGGACATCTAATAGCAGTTAGAAAAGCGAGACATGCAGAGGAAGCAAATAGCTTCTTCCACTTTGGTATCAAAGAGGACATTGAAGAGGATTAAATTGATGAAGATAAAGATTTAATAAGTTGATTTGAAAAGACTGTTGCACAGGATTAGATCCTTTGCCATTTCAGTGCAGTGTTGCTTTGTGTGACAGTGCCAGTGACAGCCCTTTTATAGTACAGTAGTGTATTTTTGCTTTCCTGGCATCATACACAAAGGTTAGGAGCAAATTCCCATGCCATGGGTTCATCTGGACCTTTCTTCGGTCTAACTAATATTTTCAGTAGGTGGTACATTATAGAGGAAGGAAGTTTCATAAGTTTACTGCCTGATAGCTGATACAGTTATACTTGCCCTAAATAAAACTGCTTAGCAATTCTTTTGAGCTTTAAGGCATCCTGATTTCTTGTGATTCAGGATTTGTTGCTATATTCTGATAATCGAACCATGCCCTTAGTTTGTTTTTCGAGACAAGGCCTCCCTCTGTAGTCTAGTCTGTGATAAAATCTGTCATCCTCTTGGCTCAGCCTCCCAAGTGCTAGGATCACAGGTGTGTACCACCACACCTAGCTAAAGTCATGTAATTGTAAACTGTGGGAGAAGAATTGTGTGTGTGTGTGTGTATGTGTGATTGGTTTGCTTTTCTTTTTTTTTACTATTTTGAGACAAGGTCTCACTATGCCGTTCAGGCTGGCCTTGAGCTCACTTTGTAGCCCAGGCTGGTTTCAAACTCAAAACAATCCTCCTGCCTCCCTCCCAAGTGCTGGGATTATAGGCGTGTACCACCACACCCAGCCTGTTTTGTTTATTTTTAATCTGACCTAATGTTTAATCTTTTCTCAAGTACAGGTTTTTGACTTTGGGGGGGGATAGTTGTTTAGTTTGTATTTTGCTTCCCATCTCCCCCATTGAGTTTTAATGAGTTAGAGAGACCATGATATGTTTTAAACACATGTAGAATAGTAGTTTGTATTTCATTTCCCAGTGATGGTAATACTCTGTTGGCTTTTTTTGGTTGTATAAGGCACAGGGTCTGTGACTTTAAGGAATAATCTATTATCATCTTGATGCCTCTGGCCTGAGGCATAACTAACTAAAAGTTTTGTTTTGTTTCTTTTTGAGACAGGGTCTTGCTGTGCAGTTCAGGCTGGCATTGAGCTCACTTTGTAGCCCAGTTTGGTCTCACAATGATCCTCCTGCCTCAGCCTCTGGAGAGCTAGGATTACAGGTGTGTGCTACCACGCCTGCCTTTAAAGGCTTCTTTAAATAGAAAATGAACTCTTTCCTCTCTGTTATGTGAAGATTCTTGCTGACATTGAAACTCCTGTGTCCATATCTCCTGACATTTTCTTAAATTGAGATTCTGGTAGACTTGGTTGTTCTGGTGCTTAGAAAATTATTTTCTTACATGACCCTTGTCTTCATATACAGGCCCTGAGTGGGGAGTTTGGCATATTGCAGGGACTCTTAGGCCACTGTAGCTAGACTGTGGTGGCAGTAGGGGTACAAGTTAGAAGAAAGGAGAGGTTGACCAAGGCTCCCTCACCTAGGAATTTGATTCTAAGAGTGGCTTAGAAGTAATTGAAGGATTTTACGGTAGAGATCCAATTTTTGTTTTTGAAAAGTTCATTTTCTATTTTGTGAAGTAGATTACAGTACAGGAGTGGAATTTAGAAAACCAGTTAGGCCATTGCAGAAGCCTGAGATGATCCAGAAATTCTGATCGCCCAGATAGGGTGGGAACAGCACACATAGAGAAGATGGATGGCCTTGAGATGTTTTGTAGGTTGGGCCTATGGGACCGGCTGTGGAGAACCAGGAGAGGCCTGGCTTAAGGGGAAGGTAAAATTAGGGTGACTCTTACGGTTTTGGCTTGAGCAGCTGCGTGGTACCATGAGTTAGGAAAGATTGGGGAGGATAGTTTGGGTTGATGAAATCAAGACTACTACTTCAGCTGTTTTGAGTCCAAATGCTAGCCCAGTGTCTGACTCAGAGAAGATAATCAGCTTGTTACCCACCACCAAATCTAGCTACACATTTATTTCACCTCATTTCATAATGATGTAATTCTTCCAGTCATTGAGAATGGATGCCATAAGATCATCAAGGTCAAAAATTAATGACGTGCTGGGCGTGGTGGTGTACACCTGTAATCCTAGCATTTGGGAGGCTGAGGCAGGATGATCACTTCGAGATCAAGGCCAGCCTGGGCTAGTGACTTCAGGGCCAACCTACACTACAAAACAAGACCCTGGCTCAAGGGAAAAAAAATTAACCTGATGTTTAGTAAATGGCCAGTAGGCCAATTTGTTTGGCACAGTATTTGGATGGCCAAGTTGGTTCAGTGTACTGTACTATGAGGTGGAGGAAGAACACTTAGGCACTAGAATTTCACTAACATCATTTTAAAATGTGAAGGACCCTGCAGAAATCTACCTACATTTGTTTCTGTTTTAGGCTCTGGGCAAAGTGAATTAAATAGTTCAGGTGTCTACATTCCAGGAGATGTGTCACAGGCCTTTACAAGCATTTCACCAGTTGACTTGCTAATGAAAGGGAAAATTTATGTGAATAATATAAAAGTAGACCAGTGTTGTCCAGCAGACCCCTCTGCAATAATAGAAGTGTTCTAACCCTGTGACATCCAGGCTGGTAGCCTGTAGCCACATATGTCTGTTAAGCAGTTAAAATGTGGGTAGTATGATTGAGGAACTAAATTTCAAATTCTATCTGATTTTATAAATTCACATTTCAGTTGTCACATACAGCTTTTAACTTCTTTCTTTGGACAGTGTGTTTTGGCAATCAACTGTATGCTAATAGAGTATATTTGTGGTTTTTTTTTTTTAAGTAACTGTGTCATTTTTTATATAGACTCATTTTAAAATATCTTTGTGTTCTTCTAGCATATGTCACAGGAGAGATCTAGACAAAAGTGATAAAAATTACTTAGGACCAAAATTTTCTTGTGGATGTAACGTGCTTGTGTATTCCTTAAAGCTGACTGTGTAAAAGAGGCATTTTTGTAGCCAGGTATGGTGGTGCACACCTGTAATTACACCACTCTGGGAGGCTGAGGCAGGAGGAGCATTGCAAGTTTGAGGCCAGCCTTGGCTACAGAGTGAGCTGAAGGCCAGCCTGAACTGCATAGTGAGACCCTGCCTCAAAAAGATTTAAAAAAAAAAAAAAAAAAAAAAAAGCATTTTTTGGCAGCCAGGTGATCATTAAATACCTGTCATGTGTGATGTATGTATGGCCTTCCTCCCACTTCCTGCAGTGAGTCAGATGCCCCGGTAGATGTGGAGACGGTGACTTCGACCCCTGTGCCTCTCTATGACAATCAGAAGGCCCGCAGTGTGATGAACGAGTGTGAGCGGCACGTCATCTTTGCCAGGACCGACGCCGATGCCCCGCCCCCACCGGAGGACTGGGAAGAGCACGTCAACAGGTAGGCTGCTCCTCAGTACCTTACCTTGATTCATCATCTTCATTGACACATTTGTCAGGAACCCATTTCATTTGTAGCCATGTATGTCAGAATGTCCTCTGTCGCGCCCTGAAATTCTCAGCTTACTGTGCTTCGAGCTCCTTGAGAATGGGGCTGGTGTGTCCGCTGTCCCAGCATCCCTGCGTCTAGGACACTAGGCACACACTGGGCGTGTAAGAAATGTGGAGAGCAGGTGTGGAGGCTGGCACCTGTGGTCCCACCTGCTCGGAAAGGAGGTGGCAGGAGCGTGGCGAGAGCCCAGGAGTTCAGGGCCAGTTTGGGCAACGTGGAGGCTCCATCCCATAAAAGAAAAGGGTTTGTAGAATAAATAAGTGATTTCAGTTTGATAGTTATGATTAGCTCTGTAGTTTGATACAATATAAGGGTTGCCCAGGTTACAAAAAACATTAAATGTGCACCTGCCTTTTTGGGGCCTGTGCTAAGAAAATCAGAATGTTTTGGAGTCACCTGAAAAGCTAAGGTACTTGGCTGGCTTTAACAAATGGATTTGCAGTCTTTTGTCTTGAGAATACCCACCCTTACCTGATTTTCGTAAGATCCTGGGCTACTGTTGTTCCCATGCCTCCTCCTGCCCCCAGGGACTCAGCACTCATCTCTAGGTCATTTTTCTGTGTTCATTTAGTGAACATTGGTTCCGCTTACTACGTAACACCAAGGCAGAGGTATTTGCGTACCACGTAATTCACCTGTACAGTGAGTGTAAGCGGTAGTTTTTGGTGTATACTCATCGTTGTGCACCATCACCATAATCAGTTTGATGAACATTTTCATCACCCCATAGAGAAACTCTCTGCCCACTAACAAGCACTCCCCATTCTTTCCTAAGCCCTCCAGTCTCTGGGAACCACCAGTCTACTTTCCTACCTCTACAGAGTTGCCTTTTCAGAATATTTTGGGTAGAATCATGCAGTGTGGCCTTTGTGTCTGATTTCTGTCACATAGCAGATGTTTTCAAGGTTCGTGCATGCTGTAACATTTCCAGTGCTTCATTCCTTTTTATTGTCAGATGGAATTTCATTGTATAGATATCCCACATTTTATTTGTGCACTGATTAATTGATGACATTTAGGTTGTTTCCACTTTGGCTGTTGTGAATAATGTCACTAGGAACATTTGTGTACAAGTTATTTTGTTTTTGTTTTTTTCTGGTGCTAGAGATTGAACCCAGGGCACTTTGAGTGTGGTAGGCAAGCATTCTAGCCTGAACTACATTGCCAGCCCCTCATGTGTAAGTTTAATGGCTGAATCTGTGTCTTCAGTTTTCTTGGGTATGTGGAGTGGAATTTCTAGGAGTAGAATTGCGGGACCATGTGGAAAGGGTCCCTTTTTTTTTTTTTTTTTTTTTAAGGAAAGAGTCTTCCTCTGTCATTCAGACTAGCCTTGAACTCATTGTGTAGCCCAGGCTGGCCTTGAGCCCATGGCAACACACCTGCCTTACCCTCCTGAGCACTGGAATTAGAAGCATGTGCCACCACATCCAGCTGTACCTTTAATTTTTGTTTTTTTTTTGAGACAGGGTTTTGCTGTGTAGTTCAGACTATCCTTGAGTTCACTATGTAGCCAAGGCTGGCCTTGAACTTATGGCAATCTTCCTGCCTCAGCCTCCTGAGTGCTGGTATTACAGGTGTGTGCCACTATATCAGGCTCCATTTAATTTTTTTTTTTTTTT